TTCATACTTTAAAGTCACCTTTTTTTGCCTGGTGATGGGAGAAAACATAATCTCTTCACCACTTCACCCTAATATTAGATAATTATCTCCCATCCACGAAATCCTGGTACAATCTCAGATCCCGCCTCAGAACTCCTTGCGGGACAAGCATGCACCGGTCTGCGCCACCAGCTTCAGTCGAAAAAGCGCCTTCACGCCCAAACCGAAGGCCGCGAACAACGCACGTCGCAGCTTGCCAGAATGATGAGAGCTGATTTCTTTTGGCGGAAAATGGGGGGCAAAACTGTGCAAAACTTGTTTTTGAACGCTTTGGGAGAAACAAAAAAAATACTTTACTTCGAGCGATCCCCACCGTGGCATTATTTTGTCATAGTTTCTGACATCTCATCTGGAAGTATATATGGCATATATTTTCTGACATTCTTTTCTGACATTTTTTTTCTGGCTTTCTATCTGTATTCTATTCTGGCATCCTATTTGGCATCCTTCCTGGCATTTTTTCTGACATTTTCTCTGGCATTCTATGTCATTCTATGTGGCATCCTTTCGGATAATCTATCTGGCATCTGTCCTGGCATTCTTCCCGGCATCTCTTGTGGCACTTTATCTGGCATTCTATCTGACATTCATTCTTTCTGGCATATGTATCTGGCATATCTTCTGACATTTTTCTTGCATTCTATCTGGTATATCTTCGGAGATTCATTTGAGGTGTGCACTTGATGCGGGTTTGCTGTTCAGGTCCGGCAGGGACAACTGATCACGAGCTTGCAGTTGAGGTCAGGCGGGGAACACACTGATCCTGGGTTTGCTGTTCGGGTCCGGCGGGGACCACTGCAATCACGAGCTTGCAGTTGAGGTCCGGCGGTGAACACTCTGATCCTGGGTTTGCTGTTCGGGTCCGGCGGGGACCACTGCGATCACGGAGCTTGCAGCTTGCAGTTGAGGTGTGCACTCTGATGCGGGTTTGCTGTTCGGGTCCGGCGGGGACCACTGCGATCACGAGCTTGCATTTGAGGTGTGCACTCTGATGCGGGTTTGCTGTTCAGGTCGGGCGGGGACCACTGCGATCACGAGCTTGCAGTTGAGGTCAGGCGGAGGAGGAGAAGAAGGCGGGCGGGACAGCTGACATAATCTAACAACCTTCACCTGACAGGTGGGGAAAAGCAAAACGTGGGAAATTGTAAAAGGTTCGAGCGGGATACAATGCCTCCGAAATGGTGGAATTTGATATGGTTTGTAAAGCAGTTTAGGGAACGCTTATGATTGGGTTTGCCACATCAAAAAGATGAACACTTCGAGGATCTGTTGCTCCCACGGCTGACAGGGCATCTGACAGACGTTAGTTTGTGGCGAACGGCATGCGAGAGTTTTTTCTTTTTGTTTGTCCCCTTGACACTTGGAGGGTCAAACATGTAGCCTCACATCTCGAAGTTTGTTCTCGGGAAAACAAACCAACCCCGAAACAGATCAGGGTCATGGAAAAAATGATTGAGTTTGGAAGATGCAACGTCCATACTGATTGTTGGACTGCCATTGGCATGTCGGTTTCATCACCAGGTATCTACCTTTCCCATCAATCAACTCACTCAACTTCCCGAAGCATAGTGAACAGTGAATACTTGGATGAGCATTAACATTCAATTGTTTCTGGAAAATACATAATATCTAGACCCCCCAGAAAACAATAAAAATTAATCAATTAGTCACCTTGATAGCATCGGATTCCTGGCTCCGTCCAAGGCAATAGTCTCAAAGAGGGCAGAGAACAACGGAACGAAGAGCGAGCAAAGAAGGAAAAACTTCCGTCACTGGGCGCTGACTAGTATAGGGTGGGCTCTACAACCTATATGCTGGGGATTAATTTAGTGGGCATATGTGGGATATTGATTCACAATATGAGTGTTTAAGGTCAAAAACACTAATCTCCCCCCAACATCCATGCGAGCATCGTCAGAAACCCCGTGAATACACTTTCAGAAAAATTATGTAAGCAAAAACCTGGGTTTCGCAAAATGGCGTAAGCCACTTTTGCAAAATACCATGCGTAAACTCTGTTGTAAGCTGTTTCATGCCTCTGGCGCAAGCAGTTCCTATGCGTTTTAAGTCAGACCTGTAAGCTTCGCGTAAGTAACTTTACGTACATGCCTGCCCTGTGGTCACGTAAACATCGAGTAAGGTCTACTAGCGCAAGCAATGTTATGCGACACATAGGCTGGTAGTCTCACGTTTTCGGAAGTTCATGGTGGTTTTGTCATTTTCTGCAGCAACGTTTATTGGTTGTTTCGGTTTTTCATGGGTATCTCCTGATTTTCAGAGATGCCCCAGTCGATCCGCATTTTCACCTGGTTTTCCCATGGTTTTCAGACGAATCTACGAGGAAGAAAAAAAATGTCATGGACAATCATGACTCGAAGAAGAGAATAGTTCCTGCGGTAAACCCAATCATGAACCATCCCCAAAATCACAAATTTTATTGGTGCTATAAACCATTCCCAAATGGTAGGTTTGGTTTTGGGTTGCCCATATTGATGTTGCTGCTGCTGATGATGGTAGTGATGGTGGTCCATGGCTCAATGGTGCAGATGTGCTGAGGAATGGTTTCGCTCTGGCAACTTGGCAGTGAGAGTGACTACTGGGCACAAGACCGGTCTGAAAAACGCAGATTCATAGGTCATAGATCCTCCTATTGAAGATGTGTTTTTCCCATGGGGTCCTTTTATTGGAGGATGCTTGGTGCCAAACATACCGTGCGCCAGAAACAGTTTCTCCAGTAGGAACTCCAAAGTTTTTGTGAAAACAGGTCAAACACAGTGGCAGCTTTCCAGCATTAGGGAACCACAGAGCAGTTTCATGTTTGAAGACCAGTAGACCATTTTGGTATGGTTTGGTGGATCTTTGGGTTGCTCCATTTGAAAAAATCATGCCGTAATTCACAAAGCAAAACTGTGATTCACAATGTTGGGTCTACCACGTGTCTTACTACTGATAAGTTTTCATCATGCTTACAATATCTTATAATCATGATGATGATGATGACGACAATTTACCAATAGTATATGTATTATATATACATGTATTATTGTCACCATTGCTATTGCCATTGCCATTATCATTGCGATTATCAGATGATCATGATGATGATGATGATGACGACAATTTACAACAATAGTATATGTATTATATATACATGTATTATTGTCACCATTGCTATTGCCATTGCCATTATCATTGCGATTATCAGATGATCATGATGATGAGGATGAGGATGAGAATAAGATTTATGCCGACGGCAACAATACTGCCTACCCGACTTGATGGCCATCCAACTTGTGCTACAAAAGATTGATTTTCCAAATGGTATAATCACAACACCTTTTGATTCATATCAGGAACAACAAATAAGGGGTTTACCCATAGCTCATTGGGTATTTATTATACCCGAAAATCCAGTCGTTCACTTGTTGTTGAAACATGTTGTTGATTTAGATTTCCCCCATCAAAAGAAATCAAATTTTGTGAAATCCTACTAAAACTCTAATTATTTGTGATGATTTACTTTCCCATCATTTATATCATTTATACCATCTGGTTGGTGGTTTTGTAACATTTATTATTTTCCATTTCATATATGGGATGTCATCCCAACCCCATTGACTCATATTTTTCAAGATGGTTTTTAACCGACCACCAACCAGTTCAATATTTCCCAATTTTTTTGGAAGGTTCACATCCCCCAAGCATTACGACTCGGATGACATTCCCATGTGGCTCGCCATGGATTTTTACCACGCTCCAGGACCGAGCGGAAGGAGATCGGACCCGCAGCCGGCGGATTTCGCAGTTGCCCGCAGTGCCACGGTCCCAGGCCCGGAGCGGTTCACTTGGAAAAAACCATGGAAAAGCCATATCCCAACCATAAATGGAGGTTTCGATCACTGGGAAAATCATCTATTTCGATTGGGGCCATCTATACCATGGCTATGTTAGTCATAACCAGAGAGTAGTTATAAGATAAGATGTTATAGGTACTGAACTACGCCCATTTATGGAATGTAATTAATTATAAATCCCATAGAAATAACCAGTTATAACTGATAAATTGCCGTAAGTGTACATGTGAAAAAATGGGTAGTCCACACCGAAGTTATGGTGATTTTCATAGAGCAAGTATGAACAAGTGGTGATTAATCAACTGACTTGATGGACCTAGGGGTGCGCTAGTTCTGACAAACCCATATGACCCACAGAAGTTGGAATTTAACGAGCAAACATGGCAGACTTTTAACAATTTGGATGGGTCAAAAGATATGCTTCTTCAGTTGGGATGAACTTCAGTTGGATTTTTCACATTTTGAAGGCACCAAGTCCCGGGTTTGATCGATAACCATTGCCCCATGAATTTGGAGAATCTCTAAAAATCTGGAGGAAGCCTATAGCCGGTGGACACGTGCACGTTTGTGGCTTCTGCCAGTTGTTCGCCATAAGTGCCCGAGCTGCAGAAATTGCGGGAGGGAGACCTGAAGGAGGCATTTTTTTACGGGAGCAGTCAATGCATGGTGCTCTGAGTGATTTGTTTTGTTTTTTTTAAAGAAAAAACAGCACAACAAAACAAATATGATGATGATGATGATGATGATGATGATGATGTTGCCTCTCAAGTGGGCTTAGTGTAACTCCATGTTTTTTTCTGCGAGGTATAACCATTTACAGTATTTTACAGTCCTCTCGCAAAGGTCGCACAGGAAGAAGGGGCTACTGCTCGCACCTTCTGATTGTGTGGATCCATGCAGGATTTCTGTGAAACCAGCTCAATGTAGCAAAAGCCCCATGATAAAACACACCTAAGCTTTCCCAATCTTGTGTTCAAGAATTGGAATGTATTTTTGGCTCACAACAATTCCACCTTTCAAACTTTCAGCTTCCATTTTCCATTGAAAAATCACAGCAGGTACTTCAATTTCCTCGCTGCCACGTTGATTCTCTCGAACGCCCTCTTCATGGGCCTTGAGACGGCTTGGATCACCTGTTCTGGTGATGTGGAAGGGCACCTGGGTCGCCTCGAACCACAAGTTTTTCACCCAGTTTTAACATTGCGCGGTTGGTGTAACATGGTGTAACGGTGAAATTAAAGTTAGTTTAACCATGTTTAACCACCTAAGAGTTGCGTTGCGACTTCCTGTTTCCTCTCTGAAATCTTGGTTCTGGCCCTTTTCCGCGGGATGATCAATCTGGAGTATTTGGGCAAGGCGTGAGTCCAAAGGATCACCTCTGAATTACCCAAGATGTTGTTACTGGGTCCCAGGTCCAGGTGAACCCCTGCTTGATGTTTAGGACTAGGACTAGCCCTTTTTTTCTGGCCATTTCAATAGGGAAAATTGATGAAAATGGTGATCGAAAAACCCGTGGATAAACCAAGGTACCTTTCTTTGGGGGTATCTATGGGTAGGAGACAAACCCATTTGGTGCCGGGGCCAAGCTGAGGATTGGCTGGTACATTGCCAATGTTTGTTTCACTCAACTGTTCCTGATGGAGCTATTGGTGCGTTGGTTCGTGGACGGTGTCTTGGCATGTCTTGGCCACTTGCAAGATGGAACCTGGAATTATACTCCCAGTTTTTTTTCCAATGGTGATTTGATGAATGATGTTGATACGCAGTATGGATGATCACATGCTTTCTGATGACTAAAAGTTGGACGAAACCAGCAACTTGGGATCCCTCAAGTTGCGATTTTTTTTCAGCAAGCCACTCCACCTGTCCCCACCAGGCCGTCATTTTTGGTCCGATGTGTGGAATATCTTCGATGCAGTTCTTGTACTATTTTCTTTATTTGATGATCCTTGGCCTGAACTTGGGGCCAAAGACTTGCATCCAGCCAGGGGGCAAGGAGGCAGCTGTCTGTCGAAGCTGTGCTTTTCCGCTGATTTAAACTTTATAATAAATGCCTACACTGGGATCATCGGACAACTGCGAAGCAGATTGAGGTCACGTCGTTTTTTATGGACAATCAAGTCTTTATCAGTGATCTCAGCCATGAGAAAAAAACACTGGAGTTTCTGATGCCAGGTTCGGACCCTGGAAGATGGAGATGACCGAATCATACGAAAAAACAGCTCGGTGTTTTGTTTTAAAGATGTGAAACCATCCCCGAAACATGTTTTCCGTTTGTGGATCCTCATTCACCAAGTCCTTTGACGAAATCCCCCCTGTAGATCTTGCGGTGAAAGTGTTTTGCTGGCAATGGGGATGGGGACAGCATTAGCCATGGCTGGCAATCAAACATGGCTGGCAAAGGGAAATCCACTGCAAATGGAGGTTTATAGCCTATATAGCTGGACAATCATCGGAGCCAAATGGGCCCCACTGCACCTGATCTCACTGACATTTTTGACATGGATATCTCTCGGCTCCTTAGATATGGCTGTGCACCAACGAGAGAATTTGTCAGCCACTGGGCTTCTTTCCATGTATTATTAGTTCATTCTATGTTAAATATATTGTTCATTCTATATGTTATCAGTTTATCCTTTTTTTGGTTTACTTAAATCTATCACTCAATGTTCTTCTCCAACAAAATCTTGTTTTTTCCATTTGAACCTTGCTGATGGCTGAGCTTCAGCACTTCAGCACTTTTGCCCAAGGAGCACGGCAACGTAGATCCAAAGTAAACAACAGGGGATGTAAAGTGATCAATCTTAAGCACATGAAGACATGAACGCCAATAAAACATGATCAAACAAATGTCATTCATATATATATATATATAACTAGCTTAGAACTTAGAACACACATGTTTAAATAAATATATATATATATATTATAATATATACATATGTATGTTAGACATGAAAGAAGGAAAAGGAAAGGATGCTGCAAACAAATGATCATTTAGAACGATGATACCATAATGTTGGAACACAATTAAACATATTAAACACATCAAACAAGGACCATTAGACTCAAAAACATAGACAATTAAATTGCGAAAACGCCTTGAACAATCATACGCAAAATGATTTTAAAACAATCCAAAACAATGAAACAATGGTGAAAAACCACATGACGCAAACAAACACGTCCATGACAACATGATAAATCAAAAAAATGAAACGCATGAAACAACAATGGAAAAAATCGAGGAAGGACACATGTGTCTTCTGGATTTTGGCCTTTCCGCCGTTGGTGGCAGAAACTGGGGACCGGGCGACTTGTGGACTAGAGCAGAAAGTCTGGAGCCCCCCCGGCATGGAGGATTGGAAACATATTTAAATCTAAATCGAATTTCTTGGTAGCACACTTTAGGGTAGAAATCTTCTCTGTGGTCTCCAGACTCTGGACTCTACAGCATCGGGCACATGTGGGCTGGTGCCTCCCAGTGTGGTCAGCAACTCGCCAAAGGAGTGCAAACTAAGTAGTGAGATTGCACAAGTGCTAACCAACGTGCAGGACAGCCTGACGAGCTTTGACCAGACTTCCACTGCCTTCAATATCTGGTTGGTGGTTTGGAACATGTTTTATTTTCCACTCATATATGGGATGTCATCCTTCCCATTAACTCATATTTTTCAAAATGGTTATTGGACCACCAGTCATTTATATCATCCAATATCCTCGCCGCTCTCCGTAATCTTTGGCGAAAATAATCCCCATTTCTGCTGGTTGAAGCCCCAGCTTCGTTACGTTGGTTGAAATCCAATCTTTGCTGCGTTGGTTAACACGTTTTTCTTGGCTGACATGTTGTTGGTTAGCATTTTGTTGGTTAAAAAATGCTAAAATGTAACTGCTGGTTGAAACATGTTAACATTCCACTTTTGTTGTTTAAATCCTTCCATTCCAATCCTCTGAGGACTTTGTCTTGACGTTTCTGATTGCATCGTCGCAATCTGCGTCGGTTCTTTTATCGTTGAGGCCAGGGCTATGGCGAGGATTCCGGGTTGAACATTTGGTACCCCTAAAAACATCACGGATTCTCTGATAATTTTCCCCTATGAACATGGCAAAATGTTAATTTTAGACGTTGTTTGTTTTTTTGTTTTAAGAGAATCCTAAATATCATATATTTTTCTGCTGACATTTGGCGAAGCCCCATTTTGGAGAGACCCAATAGATGCAATATATAGATGATTTGTAAGTGGCTTATAACAATTGCAGCCCTGAAGAAAAGACTGGCCGCCAAGCTCTGCAGTTATCCTTCCGGGTTTGCTTGATTTCACTATGCCTCTACCATTAGAGGTTGGGATTTCCCATTGCCAACCAGCTTAGGTTACCAGAGGTAGGTTTTAGATGGTTTTAGATGGTTTTAGCTCCTTGGACAGTTAGGCAGTTTGAGGCCTGAAGTCCGTGTCAGAGCCGGAACAATTTGTGCGTCCCTCATTCATTGAAATACATGTGCATCCTATGTGTGCGGGGGGTGTTTCTGAATTAAGTGTACTCACAAGACTAGCTGGTTTTCCAGCTGAAACCGACCATTCCGGTGCGCAGGTTTGCTCGCATGCTAAGATTCGTGCGAGTACTTCGGCTGTTGCGTCTCTTCAAAGGACTCTGGTACCTTGCAGAAGGACTGCTGCTGGATGTCTTTCAGTTGAGGAATAGGGTAAAGCAAAAGATGCAATGTAGACCAAAATATGGCTGTGGCCAAGAACTATCTAGGGTGGGTATACCCCTAAATCTTCTACCCGACGATCAAGCCGTTTGGTGGCCTAGAAAAGTGGATCTATGCGGCTTGTAGTTTCCCCCGCAGGCGGTTTCCCCATGTTTCAGTGTTCACAACTTCATAGCCAGTGAGAACCGTGGAAGGCTCAGAATGGGTCAACCTGACACAGCCAGGAATTATTGCTTCTTTGAGTTCCCTGGCGTGGGCATGGCTGTTGTTGATCGCTACTCTGTTGCACTTGGGCGATCTTGGTGGATCCATTGAGTTTTGCCGGCGGCACAACGACTGCGCCCGACCATTGTCCATTCCACATGGGAATTTCCCGGCTGCAAGGTCAAGATATATACTATTGGTATCTATTGGTTATACCCACATATTTCATCCAAATTGTTGCAAGGCAATTTATGCATTAGCTAAACTCACCATTCTTCATGGGAATATCATGCCAATTTCCCAGAACTGGTTGAAAAAAAACTTGACACCATTGGTTTCAACCAGAACTCTTCCCTTAGATTACTCCATGCATTAGCTATCTTTTTTGTTGATGAAACAAACATTTTAGGTGAGTAGATCCCCATCTTGAAGTGCTTCAATGACCTTTTTGAGTGATTAAATCCTATTTTGAGTGCTTGATTTCCAATATTTTTTTGCACATCCGATCTATTTGCCCCAGGTCATGATGTATCTTCCTGCAATCTTCGTGACGCAAACCTTTGGAAAGTCAAAGGACCCGGACCCGCAGCTGGTGGCAGCCTTTGGTTCCCTCCCGCAACCTGGTAGAATGTTCAAAGGACCCGAATAACGACAAGAACCAGGGCGAAGTTTAACCATCTATATTAGAAAGTTGGTGCCTAAACTTTTGGACAAACTCCGCTTTGTTCCAAGATATTGGGGGGATTCTTTCACAGTCGGACCAGTGCAAAAATACAGTAGTGGCCACGGGGATCATTTGCCGTAAAAATTGGGTTGAAATGTCTTGCAGTTTCGCCCCACATGCGCTTCCTCCAAAGGTGTTTTTTCGTGACAGGTAAACTGATGGTTCCATCCATTCCAGGTGGAGTTGAGACAGAGTCCTTTTTATACATTATGGGTAAATTATAACGACCTCACTGCGACCTCGCTATAATCATAGTTAGTAAGGGGAAATATCCCCAAATGACCTTACTTCAGGTTAGTGAATTATTATAATTTACCCAGATTATATATACAGTAAACACATTTAAATATGTGGAGGGCGGGCCAGACCGCGAGGCCCCGGAGGTAGTATGAAATACCAGTTCGTATATTGACATGTACTTACCGTGTGGTTAAATGAATTGGATTCCATATGTGTAAATGGCCGGGCGGGCAAAGGAAAACCTTCCCCGAGGTAGTCTAAAATACCTGTTCGTATATCTAAAGGTCCGTATATCTAAATATATAGTTACCGTACGTATATTCTAACCACACACCGTTGCGCACCTGTACATCGATGGATATCATACTGGTTGGCCCTCAAGTTTGAGTCATGCACATCTCCAATTGGAGCTTGAATGACAGCCCCTATTTCATTAAGTTGGTAGCCACGGTTCCGACACCCATAGAAATTATTTGGATAGTTGGGGGATTCTAGTTATGTCAGTAGAAGAATTCAACCCACTTCTGCTTCTGATTGTTTCAGCAATAGTATCCGTGTTTTGAACATCATCATAGAGACCTTCAGCGTAACTCACCTTGCGTTTTTTCCAACGTGGGGTCCGCTGAGGATCGCCGACTCGGGTAAGTGATCCTAACCGCACCGAGGCAATCCATGTATACCTTGTTCAAGGTAATGACCATGGAGACCTGGCCAGACTTGGCCAGACATGCGGGAAAGGTCTCACCAGGCCTGGAATCCCGGTGCTCAAAGCCTCTGGGCCTCTGGGCTAGAGTTTTTCCTGTTGGTTTTTCAACAGGCATGGGGGTTCGTGATGTGTCTTGATGTTTTTCTTCATGGTTGCATTTGTGTTTTGTGTGATGACCATGGATGGAACTCTGGTCTTAGCACGGCACATCCCACCATTCAGCCGGGTCTTGGTAGATCAACGGAATTAGCTTTACACCTTTTGATGGAGGAATATCTAACTAACATCCAACTATAACATCAACTAACATGCTTTCTTGTGTATCTAAGTTTGGCCACAAAGATACCTCACAAAGACGGTATGTTATCATTGTGGTATATCACATATACACGGATATATATACCGTTTGGTTATTTAACATAGCCATGGAAAATCACCATTTTTAATAGGTAAACCATCGATTTCTATGGGCCATTTCCCATGGTTATCTTACATAACCAGAGGGTATATATATATATATATTATAGTTATCCTGCATTGATGCTAGCCACCATGGAAGGTTTCCAAATTACTATAACTAGCCACATTAATCCACATTGTACTATATGATATCATATTCCTATTATCAGTCAATCTGTGTATGTATATATATATATATATTTATCTATTTTTTTGTATTTGTATATTATCTATCTATATATTTATATATATATATATTGACCTACATATATGCAATATGTATATACATTGCCAGGTAGGAATTACAGATTTGGTAATTATTGTTATATCACCACATATTGCCCTATCGTAATCAGACATGGTTTGCTGAAAAATGCTCATTTAGTCTCATGTGTTTCCCCATATATATAAATGTCTATTGGAGGGGGATTTCACAACTAACCATGTTTGATCACATGGGTCTGGTAGTTCTGGGGATAAGTTTATATTCATCATGTTATTCATCATTTTGTTCATCTATATTCATCTATAATCATGTTTATTCATTTGTATCAGGTGATCTATGTGAATCTACTATGTTAATCTATATTGATCTATATTAATCTATATTCATTTATATTCATCTATATATTCATGATATTAATCTATATATTAACCGTATTAATCTATATTAATCTGTGTTAATCTATATTGTTCATCCACAGGAGCAGAGATCTTCTTCGTCTTATACATCTTTTGCACCAGTGCCTGCCCTTGCAATGGGAGAACAAAAATCAGGAATGTATTGGATATATTTGGGATATATTGGGGTTACATATACAAGCGCTAGCGTTAAGTCGTATCAGCTTGTAAAAGTCGTATCGGGAGGCCGTGCGCCTGAAAAAAAGTTCAAGTTTGGCATCACCACAACTTTTGGTAATTGAACGATTTCTTCGTTTTGGGGCCGTGCGCATGAAAAAAGTTCAATTTTTGTATCGCGTTGATTTTTAAAACTTGTATTTGATTATTCTTTCAAGGGGGCAAACGCTGGTTGACGCTTGCCTGCTGCTTGCTGCTGCTTGCCTGCTGCTTGCTGCTGCTTGCTGCTGCTTGCTGCTGCTTGCTGCTGCCTACCTGCTGCTGCTCACCTGCTGCGTGCTGCTCACCTGCTGCTTGCTGCTCACCTGCTGCTCACCTGCTGCTTGCTGCTCACCTGCTGCTCACCTGCTGCTTGCCTGCTGTTGCCTGCTGTTGCCTGCTGCTTGCTGCTGCCTACCTGCTGCTGCTCACCTGCTGCTTGCTGCTGCTTGCTGCTGCTTGCTGCTGCTTGCTGCTGCTTGCTGCTGCTTGCTGCTTGCTGCTGCTGCTGCTGCTTCCTCATGCTGCTTCCTCATGCTGCTTCCTATATAGATGGATAGATAGATAGATAGATAGATAGATACATAGATACATAGATACATAGATCGATCGATCCATAGATAGATAGATCGATAGATAGATAGATAGATAGATCGATCAATAGAAAGATAGATCGATAGATAGATAGATCGATCGATCGATCGATCAATAGATAGATAGAAAGATCGATAGATAGATCGATCGATAGATAGATCGATCGATCAATAGATAGATAGATCGATCGATCGATAGATAGAAAGATCGATAGATAGATAGATAGATCGATCGATCAATAGATAGATAGATCGATCGATAGATAGATAGATCGATAGATAGATCGATCAATCGATCAATAGATAGATAGATCGATCGATCGATCGATAGATAGATAGATAGATACATAGATCGATCGATCCATAGATAGATAGATAGATAGATAGATCGATAGATAGATCAGATAGATCAGATAGATAGATCGATCAATAGAACGATAGATCGATCGATCAATAGATAGATCGATCGATAGATAGATCGATCGATCAATAGATAGATAGATCGATCGATAGATAGATAGAAAGATCGATCGATAGATAGATAGATAGATCGATCGATCAATAGATAGATCGATAGATATATAGATAGATAGATGTATAATGTTTATATATAGGGGATATATATATATATAGAAACCTAAGAACATGAGATGGCCTTGAATGCCCATCATATTTGGGGACTTACTCCAGATATGGCCATCAAATTGGGAGTTTTTGTGCCTGACAATTGCTGTATCATCACATCTTCCCCGTGAAGCCGCTAGTTTAGTACTGGTCCTATATACCGTGTGAGGACCCATAGCGAGGAGTATTAAATGATCGGGTAATATAAGGATGGGAGTAGTGCATTATCCAATCATCAAACGTTTGTGTCTGTGCTTGAGTGATCTGCTAAGCCGCTCTTCTGAAAGCTGAGGTTTTGCTGTAATGTGTCTTGGCATCAGACTGGCAGGCTGCAATGATGGTTGGATCTAGGATGAATTTGTGGAAACTCAGAGTCACATCATCACATGTTTCCGCGGTTCAGAAATCGAAATATGGTTTGAAAAGGGCACGTTTTTATCGTTGAAGCAGATGTAAAAGAAGGCTATGGTTGAGATGACACACCAGTGGACATTCTTGGAACCTACATCAACTTGGTTTCCTCTCCACCATTCCAACAAGACCCACCTTGGTGACCTCCAGGAATGTGGTGGTCGCTGTCATCGTGCAGAATACCTGTCCCTTGGACCTCACGGTGTGCGTGTTTTGATGGCTGCGAAGAAGCCAGACGTGGTGTTTGAAATTCTCAAGCAGCAATAGAAGTCACTCGGAGATTTCTGAAAGTGGTTACATATATATATATATTATATATATATACTATATATATATATATTATATATATATATATATTATATATATATATATTATATATATATTGCTGTTTTTACCACAGCACTCATAGGCGTTGACATGCCTATTCCGTGAAGTATTGGCTGAAAAGAGCCGCGGAGCGAGATTCATGAGGCGTTGAACACCCCTCCTTGTCCAATCGATTCCAGTGACTCTTCATATCCTACTTGAGCACTTCTACCGCTTGCACGGTAGCGGAGCCTGCCTACGGGCGGGCGTGAGACCAGGGACCTACAGCCTCCTATTGCCAGAGCCATAGGAGGAACAACATGGCGGAGAAGCAGAAAAGGATAGAGAAGACGCGAGAAGGAGTTCCCATTTGGGATGGAGATGCCGGAACATATCAGGAGTTTGAAGAGAGCGCTTTGCTGTGGGAGCAATCCATAGCGATGCACAAGCGCTACTTGTGCGGCCCGAGGCTTCTCACAGAGCTGACGGGCACTGCTCGCAGGTTCACTGTGGGCAAGCATCCCGAATGGCTCTCCTTCAATGGAGGCGTGCAGCGGCTTCTGACGTACCTGAGGTCAAACTTGGGCCTTCCACAGATGCCTGAACTGACGGATCATTTGAGCCGTTACTTCCGGCAGTCCAGGCGCAAGAAGGGGGAGACCATGAATGAGTACGTCACTAGGAAGTCAGAACTGTATGCAAGAGCTAGGCAAGGACTTCACAGGGTGATGTCTCACTATGAGAAAAAGAAGCCAGCGTGGGAGAAGAGCTACGGCGGCTATAGCCGTCCGGGGTCCACCGACCCTTGGGCCAACTACAGGAGGACACCCTCCCTGGCTGGCAGTCAGAACCTGAGTGCTGAGGAGATTCAGGATGATCGGGAAGCGCTTGCTCGACCTGATGATCAAGCTGAGGCCACCGAGGATGCAACTGAGGAGCGAAGCTCCACTGGTCCAGGTCCTTCAGGAGACTCCTGGAGTTATCCGGACTGGTGGTCAAATGACTGGTGGAGTACCTCTTGGACACCTTCCGAGAATGCCGACTGGAATGTGGAAGCCCCTGAACTACTACCAGAGTATGTCCAGGGCTGGTACCTCTTGTTTGATTCTGGCCTGGACACCAACGAGCGCAACATGGTCGTGGCAGCCCTGAAGGGCGACTTCACTATGACCCGAGTGGCACAGGAGCTACGCAGCCAGTGGACTGATGAGGACTTGCGTCGTCGAGATGCAGCCAATCGTCACTCCAGCTGGTGGGTGGATGAGAATGAAGAGGCCGAGTCTGAGGACTATGACACTGCCTGGGTTGCCCAGGCTCACCGCAACTTCAATGACGAGGGCCTCGCACTCCTGGGTGAAGCTGAAGATGTGGCTCAAGAAGCCCTAGCCATGATGGAGCGCGGGCGTCGCACCTTGAAAGAGGCCAGACAGAAACAACATCAGGTGAGGATGTCCCGGAAGTACTACCGCACCAACTTCAAGCCCTCTGGAAGCACTTCGGCTGTAGCTTCTGGCACAGATCAAAAGTGCTTCCGATGTGGTGGTCCTCACAAGACTTCATCATGTCCAAAGGCAATGGCAACAACGACAGCCTCTTCAGCCGAAGAGCAGGCTGCACCTTTCATCTGTTTTGCACAAGACCAGATCACCAAGGACCATGAGATTGTGGAGCCCTATGTCCCGGACGACCACGAGGTGAACTACCTGGATGCTGGGTTCTCCGATGCTTGCCCAGAGGCCTTCTTTGATGTTGCCGACACCAGCAGCATAGGGCCTATCTCCACTCAGATGGCCGTCGAGCAAGGCAAGGCTGTCGTTGATGGAGGGGCTACAAAGACCCTTGGCAGCGTGGTGGCCCTCGAGAAGATCATTGCCCTCAACAAGTACAAGCATGGGACTTCTCGCCTGGCCGACCTTGACTTGGAGAACAAGCCTACGTTTGGTTTTGGAAATTCATCAAAGAACCAGTGCGTGTCCACAGCCTCACTCGAGGTTCAAGCCGATGGCAAACCTGGACAAGTACAAGTACATGCGTTGGATGCGGGAGCAGGACCTGTGCTGTTCTCCATTGAGTCCTTACGGGCCTTGGGAGCAATCATCGACTTCTCCGAGGACATGGTCGTCTTCCGCAAGATCAACCCGTCCAAGATCATCAAGATGGAACGTTCGGCCACTGGCCATCAGCTGCTGCCCATGACTCAGGATTGGTACAGTGATGCTCAGAGCACTGCACAGCCAGTGCCGAGCCTGAATGCTTTCCTGTAGGGACAACTCCTTTCTTTCCGTGCGCCTGAGATGGAAAGGAAGGTCAGTAGCGATGTTTCAGGCACTTTTCACAACCCCTTGAACATGGTTGGTGATCCGAGCATTCATGATGGTGTTGGGTGTGTTGTTCATGACCATGTGGTTGTTGATGATGAAAAACTTTCCCAGGGTTTCCATGGACATGTTGGAAAAATCTCAGACAGCAGTCAGTGTACAGAGCCAGAACAACCTCATCCTGCAGCTCTCCAGCACAAGCTAGACGAGATCCCCAACGAGTCAGTGAACAAGAGACATGCCTCGTGCCACCAGAAAGGAACTGGTGGAAGAGCTCCTGATGACCTTTGGCGAAACAGCTCCAAAACAGTGGAGCATCATGGAGATCGAGAGCCGCCTTTTGGAACTCAAGGAAGCCAACGGGATGATCACTCAAAAAGGGAAGGTACGGCCACCGATGCGCCATGCCATGATCGAGCTGAACAAGGCCAGCAAGAAGAAGTCCGACCTTGTGGACTACGTGAACAACAAGCTCATGGTGAAGACCCGCGGCACCGAGACCATTCAGGAGCTGCAGCGCTTGGGCACCAAGAAGATCTACCAGACCACAGCCGCCTCTCCGGAGGATCCTGTGGGGTTCGGGGAACACTGCAGTCTGCAGTACCACGAGCTTCTAGCCCAACACCCACAGTATGCCAGTTGGGTCGTGAAGACCGCCACCGAGGGGGAATGCGACTACCGCCTGGCCCGTCTGGCCAATTGGCTCCAGAGCCCAGAGGCACAGCATCCGATGCCGACCTACAAGCAGACCTCCAGCGGCTACAAGAACACATCGACGCCGGCCAGCGGCTCGAATGGCAAGACCGAGAACATGATGATGCAGATGATGCAGATGATGCACGCCCTCAAGGAGGACGTGGACAATCTGAAAGCCGAGAGGCCTCACAAGAAGGTCGAAGCATCCAGTGTCTCCGAGATGACAGAGTCATCCACAGGCTCTTTTGTGCCGATCCCACAGTAGCTTCAGCTGGGAGTGTAGAAAACTTTAATTTGTCACAGGCGGGAATGCAGGTCGACAGTGAGCTCTGGAGGGGCTCATGGGAAGCCTTACCTGAGCAAAAAGTAAGACACTTGTCCCATTGCAGTGACAGATTGATTTCGAATGCCTTTGAGGCCCTGCTATCACACCAGCGCATAGAGCTGCTGGAAGTGGCATGTTCGGCCGACAGCGTGCTGTCTCGCACCATGCAACAAAAGAAAGGTGACGAGGGTGCGGCCCGACGCTGCTCACTTTTCAATGAGTATGATTTAGGAACCAACCAGGGGATTCACAAAGTCATTCAAGATATTGACCATTATAAACCAAAACATGTTTGGCTTTCTCCGGTTTGTGGACCTTTTTCAGTGATGCAAAACATCAACCAGAGAAGTGAAGCTCAGAAGGAGGCCCTTTCTGAGAAGCGCAAAGCTGCCATGAAACAGTATGTCGGTTGCAGTGTCATATATACGTACTGTATTCAGCATGGTATACATGTCACTTGGGAATGGTCACAATCATGTCAGGCATGGAGGCTTCCAATGATGCAGGAACTGGTGAAGAAACATAATCCATGGTTTGCTGTGGTACGGGGTTGTCGTGTTGGTCTTGTTGATGATGAGAAAAACCCAATTTCGAAAGGCTGGAAACTCATGACCACTCATGCTTTGTTGGCAAAAAGGATGAACATGCCATGTAGCTGTGGGCCTCACCAGAAACATGTGAAGTGCGAGGGTTCCCTTACCAACAAAACTGCTTATTACACCCCCGAATTTGCCCGAAGGGTCTGTGATGCGTTGATTCATGGAGCGGAAGATGAAGACCTAAAAAGGGAGTTTGTGGGAGACCACCAAATTGGGGAAACTTTTGGTAATGGGATCAGCTGCAGTTGTCACCACATTCATGATTCTCAACATGGTTTTGTTTGCGGTTCATGTGTTCATGATGAGCATGAAAGAATCAAGGGAACCAATCATGGGAAGTGTGACAGTAAGGGGAACCACGAAGTTCTGGTTGGGGAAGATAACCAACAAAGGGGTCAGGGTCTGACTATTGAAGAAATAAGAAAACGACTGTACCTCTTACATGCTGCCACTGGCCACGGGCCAACCAGACACCTGGTGCAAGCCCTGCGACGCAGGGGAGTGTCAGAGGATGTGCTCAGGGAAGCCGAACGTTTTGAGTGTTCAGTTTGTAAGGAACGGGGTAGACCGAAGCCACGACCTTTAGCCACCTTGGAGCCTCACCCCCCAAAATGGGCGTCTGTGTCAGGGGATATTGGGCACTGGGAACACCCACAAACTAAGGAGTCCTATCAATTTTTGATGTTCGTTGATGAGGGATGCCGTTTTCGTGTTGGAAAAATTGTTCTTACGGGGAAAAGAAGTCACCTTACTGCCAATCAGTTTGTTGAAACGTTTGGGGAACACTGGGTTCAGTATTTTGGTTTTCCTAATCAACTCAGGGTTGATCCGGATGGTAGCTTCAGGAGTCATGTGGTTCAAGAATACTGTGATAGGCACCAAATAATGTTGGACATTATTCCGGGTGAAGCTCACTGGAAGGTGGGCATTTGTGAACAGGC